TCCATTGAACTCTAGATTTTTGAGCCCAAAATTCTTCTTCCTCCTTAGTGAGCTTATTCAGAATCTTTCTAAGTCTTTCCCACTCAGTCCAGTCTCTATCTGCTCCCTGAGTACTCATCCAATCTAGTCTTTCAGAAACCTTCTTTTTTTCCATGATCTGCTCTTTCCTGAATGAGGCACTCCATTTTAACAAAGAAAGTCTGGTGGATTTGATTCTTTCAGATACTTGAAACATAGGAGTTCAAGTTTGAACAGCTTTCCAACCAGCTTGAACTGCTTCAGTCACTCCTTCTCTAATCAACCACCTTTTATCAAAGAAGAATCTTTTAGGTTTGAGATGGCTATGAGTAGAATTGTCATTTAAGGATAATAGCCTGTGGTCAGAGGAGCTGGTAAAATAGCAGTTAACCAAAGCATTCTGATGAGAAGAGATCCAGCCAAAAGAAGCAAAAATCTTGTCTATTTTTTCCTGAATGTAGCCTTCATCACTTATATTGTTCTCCCAAGTAAAAGGGTGGCCAATAAGCTGGAGTTCCTGCATGCCCATCCTGGAAATAAACTCATTGAAACCTCTGAACTCCCACTCAGCTTTAGCTCTACCCCCTGACTTTTCACTGGCATCACAAACCTCATTCCAATCACCACCAAGGATCCACTGTCTTCTAAGACTGGCATTTTCAAGAAATCCCCATTGATGAACTCTCTCCCTCCTATCAGAGCTGGCATGAAAAAAAACCATCCACATATTAGCCTCACCAGACAACCCCTTCACTTCTAGCTGGATGCAAAAAGGATTACTAATAATTTGGACAACTTCCACATCTCTACTCCACAAAACAAGAAGTCCTCCACTGAGCCCAACCGGCTCAACAGCAAACCATCTATCCTTAAAACCAATCTTGTTACAAACCGATCTAATGAAATTATTTGTTTTTTTTGTTTCTGATAAAAACATAAAACTTGGATGGTGGAGCCTAGAGAGCTCCTTAAGTTGGGAAACTGTAGAGGGCCCACCCAGCCCTCTACAGTTCCACATGAAGGTCTTCATTGATCAATTAGGGGCCACTCTGGGCTGGCCACCCCCACCACTTGCAAAGAGTTTTTTTGTTTCTTGTTGTCTCTAACCAGGTCAATCTGGGACTCCTCTTCAATGATATCCAGGCCTTCAGCTCTCTTTCTTCTTCTGGTAATATGTTCTTTTTGAGCAGCCTTCTTAGGGATTGAAGGACAGTGATCTCCACTTTTGAGAGTATTCTTTCATTTCCACCCTGTTTTCTTAGTTTTACCCTCTAGCTCCAGTGGAGCCTGAGTTAGGGGAGCATCAAGGGTCAGAAGGTGATTGATAGTGGTAGCTTCTGTCTCCATATCAGCAACTACATCAGCATCCCCTGTAGAACCACTAAGCACTTTATTAGAACGAGGAGAGGACAAAACAGCTAACTGTAGAGCCTTCTCACCCTCTTCAGCACTCTCCTTATGTTGTGCCTCAGTAGTAGTAGTATCTTCTTGCACTCTACTGCCAGCCGATTTTTGGCTGATGTTCTGATCATTCAATTTGGTGGTGGATTCAGGAGTCATAGTTGGGGAATCTGTGGAATTATTCCCTGGAGTGAAGGAGGAGGAGTTCCTGCTGCTATATGGGTTATCAGGCGCCCTCAGCCATTCTCCATATTGCCCCTCCATAAGAGTTCCATTACTGGCATCCTCAGATTTCTTAATGCAAGATCTTTCCAGGTGGCCAATAAGGCCACAATAGTAGCAGGTGTTGACAAGCTTTTCATATTGGAATGAAGCTATGATCTGAGTGTCATTCAATTTCAATTTAGCCACCCTTGGGAGGGCCTTGGACACATCTATGGTGGCTAGAAGCCTAAGGAAGCTTCCCCGTTGTCCCCCTGCCTTAATCACAGTGGCGTTTAGAACTTGCTTAAAAACTCTGCCCACTTTGTGTCCCACCTCTGTGCATAGCCAGTTGATAGGAATGTCATTCACTTGAACCCACATCTTGAGTTCAAAGAACCTCTGATGATTTTCATTTAGCCCTTCCACCCAATCTGATAAAATAAGGTATTGATTCTCAAACACCCATTGCACACTCGCTTGAACCCTCAGCTTATCAGCCATACTTCCGAAAATGAACTGAAAATAATTGGACTTCAGCTCTCTAACCTCTAACGGCCTCAAAAGTTGCCAGATACTTCCCATAGCCCTGCGAATACCGATTAAGCTTGCCCTTCTATCTCCCACGACTTTCCCGAATAGACTATTACCACATTCTTCTTCACTGAAGCGAACGTCATCATTTTTCAGATCTATAATATCATTTTCTGATTCTGAAAGAGCAATATGACGAAGACGACTCCCTAAATCTTCAGGCAAGACCTATGATGCCGACGCCCCAGTCACATCGAACTCCATTTGGGCCCCAATTCAGCTAGGAGAACCTGAAAATGGAAGAGAAGAAAGGGGAAAGGAGAAAGACACAAAGCCAGAACAAAGCCGAAAAAAAACCCTAGAAAAAATCGAAAAAAGAAGAGAGAAAGGGAAGAGATAAAAAAGGACCAGGACACAACCAAAGAAACCCAAATAAACCACCCAAGATGGAGAAGAAAACCAGCCGAAGATGGAGAAGAAGCTCCCCTAAGAAAGATTCGCTGCTCCCCTAAGAGAGATGACTAACTCGAGTTCTACTTGAGGACACTCATCTATCATTATATAAAAAGAATAACCTTTTTTATGATTTCCCGCCAAAATTTACCGCCAAAATCATTTAATGAATAAATGCGGCGCTACTTTTTTCTGATGGTTCACTTTTTCCTATTTTATAGGTTAACAAAATAACATATTGTGTTGATATTATAAAAAAATCTATCATTACAAAATCATATTAAAAAATAATTGATAGCTTATAAAATCTCATAGCATAAATCTACACGAATTTATCTCTTATTTGTTACAAAATCTCATTGCATACGTCTCATGAGTTTAAAAAATCTCATCACTTATTTATCAGATTTAAAAAAAAAAATAGAAACCAATTCGTACTTACTATTAGAAATCAATTATCTTTAAAAATAAAAAATAAAATAAAATAGAAACCAATTCATAATTAGTATTAAAATTCATTATCTACTCTAAAAAGCAAATTTTCATCGTACTAATTACTAATATTTTTACAAATATTATAAGCTAACAATACATCATCGATAACAACGTAAAAAGTATAATAATAATTTTGAAATTTTGCGTAATCAAATTTTTTTAGATAGAAGTAGCGCCATAAATTCGGTATCATCTGACCTAATGTGTATTAAATTAGGCTTATAATATTTTAGATACTTTAAAAAAATTATTTAGACATTTTTTCACATATTCGTCTATATATACATACATATATATACATATACACATATACATAATTAAAATTAAATTTAAATATTTGTAGACATGTTTTCTTTACAAAATAATCTAAAAACATATTTTTTACACAATGTTAAATTTTTAGATATGTTTTCCTTAGAAAATTGTTTAGAAAAGTTGTAAGTTGACTTCATATGTTTCAAAAATGATATAGAAAATTTGAATACTTTTACATATACTAATATAATATTTTAGGTGTTTTTAATATTATATATACAAATTTTATATTCTCTTATACAAAATAATGTAAAATCTATCTATTATACAAAAAAATTTTACATTGTTTGATCCCGAATCTTTAATCTATAATTATTAAGTATTGCTTATCCTCCTCTTTAATTTATAATTATTTTTTTCTTCCTCTTTTTAAATCGGATCAATAGTAGTCTCCACTTCTGCCATTGAGTGACTCAAACACGAGGTCGCTTTATAATATTGTTAATTTAATCTTGTTCCCGTGCATCGCACGGGGTACACACTAGTTATATTCAAATAAATATTATATAATTTTTTTATATTTTTTATTTTGTTCTTAACAATAATGAGATGCTAAACATAAATAATTATTTTTTAATATAAAGTTTTACAAAAGATCATACGATAAAATGTCCGTCCGTGCATGGTATAACACTAGTAAATTTGAAGTTAGAGAGAAGGGAGACATTCTCTCACTAGAAATCATCTTACTTTCTAGGGCTTGAACAAATTGATCTTTCACCTCTTTGATCTTGAGTGTTTTTGAGTGCTTAACTCGTTCTTAATTCCGCCCACAAAATTCGAACAATTCCATGGTTGAAACTCCTAAAGCCGCGGAAGTTGCTTAGTCCATATTGGCTAGGAGCAAGAGAAAAGCACCATACCGCCGCCTCATTCTTGACAACACCGAGGACATCGATGATTTTGAACCCATGGAAGAAGAGATCACGACACCGCTTGCAACCAAAAATACCGCCAGTAGTTCCAAAGCCGAGAGTGTTCTTGGGCTTCCCACATCCAAAGGTAAGCTCACTAATGAGGATAATGTTGTTGATGATCTTGTGAACATGGGATTTGATGTTGAGATGTTGGAGGGAGTAGAGGGTAATCAAGAGCTAGCAACAAGTGAAGACAAAAAATACACCCACAAGGTGTTTGATAAAATGCCTCAAAAGGAAAATGTAAAGGAAAATTTGGTGAAGTCTCAAAAGGATGCCGCTACACAAAAGAGGCCCTTCTCGGCCCTCTTTGCTGACAATCGCAAACCCTCCTTAGGCCCCAAATTGGACTATATCCCGCTGAAGGAAGGAGGTGCATTCCTTGAAGAGGAGGACTTCTCCGAGCTTACCGACACGTGGGGCTTTTGCCTAGTCGGGTATTTTACCCAAAGGTACCCCGGGAAAGAGGCTCTCCTAAAGTTATGTAAGACTTGGAACGTAGAGTTCGAGATTGTCCCCAATGTCAATGGGTGGATTGTTTTCAAATTCAAAACCGATGATGATAGAGTCAAAGTGCTTCAAGGGGGACCTTACACCACATATGGAAGGGGGCTCATCCTAAAAAATCTTCCAAATTGGTTCCAATTTGGGGAAGATGATATCAAGGTGGTTCCCGCTTGGATCAACCTCCCGTTCTTGCCCAGAGAGTGTTGGAGTGCCAAAGCTATCGCCAAAATAGCCTCGTGTGTCGGTAAACCCATCTCTACCGACAAGTTAACGACAACACGTGCTCGAAGGAATTATGCCAGGGTTTTAGTAGAGCTTGACCTCTCAAAAGACCAGACCCTTAGTTTCCCCGTTAATGCTAAGGATGGAGTATTGTTTGAACAAAAGGTGGAGTATGAATATGTCCCACATTATTGCTCCCATTGCAAGTACATCGGCCACTCTCTCTCGAATTGTGGTAAGCATGTGGCCCACGTGAAGGGAAAAAAAATAAATGGGGAACCAGAAAAGCATGGGAAGGTAGACTATCCAGAAAAAAAAAAGCCGAGGAGGACACTCTTAAGGTCAATGCCCACGAGAAAAAGAAGGCAAAGACCACCAAAGAAGAGGAAAAAAATGAACACATGTGATATGGGATATTATACCCATTAGGCTGAACCGGTTCATTGACTGGTCGAGGAGGTCGTATTATGAGGAAGTCAAAGAAATCGAGCAGTTAACCAGTCGA